TAACATTTGTTGCAGTATCAGTTCAGTGTTAACAAAGTCCTTTAGTTTTGGGGGTTTTTGGGGGTTTTTTTTTTTTTTTTTTTGGTCTGGGACGCTTCTTATTTCTCCTTCAGTTTTTGGTCATTTAGCTTTAAATGATAGCTTGGCTGGGTAAAGTAGCTTTGGCTGTAGGTCCTTGCTTTTTATCACCTTCAACATTTCATGCCACTCCCTTCTGGCCTGAAATGTTTCAGTAGACTCATCAGATGATAGTCTAATTGATCTTTCCTTGGAGGTAATTGTCTACTTTTCCCTTGGAGATTTTAGGGTGATTTAAGGATTCTCTCCTTGTTTTTAAAGCATTGTCATCTTAATTATGATGTGTCTCAGTGTAGGCCTCTTTGAGTCCAACTTGTTTGGGATTCCCTGAGCCTCCAGGACTTGTGTATCCTTTTCCTTCACCAGATTAGGGAAGTTTTTGGTCATTATTTCTTCAAATGGGTTCTCGAGCCATTGCTCACTCTTCTTTTTCTGATATTCCCATGACACAGATGTTGTGCTTCATGTTGTCCAAAGTGTTTCTTAAGCTCTCCTCGTTTTTTTAAATTCTTTTCTCTTCTTTACTGCTCTGCCTAGGTGTTTTTTTTTTCTGCCATTTCTTCCAAATCACTGATTCAGTCCTCTGCTTCATCTAACCTACTGTTTAGTCCTTCCAGTCCATTATTTATTTCAAATATTGCATTCCTAATTTTTTTTAAAGATTTTATTTATTTATTTTTAGGGAGGGAGAAAGAGAGGAAGAGAAACATCAATGTGTGGTTGCTACCCAAGCACCCACTACTGGAGACCTGGCCTGCAACCCAGGCATGTACCCTGGGAATTGAACTAGAGGACCTTTGGTTCACAGTCAGGTGCTCAATCTACTGAGCTACACCAGCCAGAGCCATTCTTTATTTCTGACTGGTCCTTTTTTTATGGTTTCTATGTTTTTTTTTCATGGTGTTGAGTAGCCTTATAATCATTACATTGAACTCTCTATCTGATAAATTGTTTGCCTCCACTTCATCTGGTTCTTCTGGAGAATTCTCTCATTCTTTCATTTGGGGTCTGTTTCTTTGTCTTCCCATTTTGGCTGCTACTTTGTATTTTCTGCCTTAGTTGTTAAACTAATCTTGTTAAACTGATCAGTTGTTAAACTGATCAACTTGTAATCAGCCACAGACTTAAGCTCCACTGGATGGGGTAGAGTAATTCCTGCAGGCGAGTCTGTCGCTTCCCCTCAGGCTGATACCACTTGGAGAGGAGGGCTCTGTCTGAGAAAGATGGCTCCTGCAGTATGGGGGATGACTCAGCACAGATCCTGGTGGTGGTTTTTTCAGTTTTCTCCCCAGAGCCACCAACCCCACACTCTCCTCATGTGTCTCTAGTCCACTTTGCCCTCCTTTTTGCAAGAGCTCAGGATAAGTGGCTGCAAACAGAATTTTTTTGTGTGTTGGCCCTTTAAGAGTCTCTCTATGTCTCCCGCCATCTGTCCCTGGCGGATAGAAACCCATCTGCTTTTCACAGCTGGATGTTCTCTCGGATCCTTTGTGGCTCTGGTGTACAGACTGGGGAGTTCAGCTTGGGGTTTAGACCCTACACTTCTCAGGAGGACTACCCCCCTGGCCACTGAAATATCCCTTTGGAACTTGGGATAGTTCTACCTGTGGAAGCCCAGCCAGCCCTCTGGCACCTTTTCCACACTCCCTACCAGTCACGTTGTGCTGAAGTGGTTTCTTCTGTCTGCCCATGGTTAGAAGGCTTCTCTCCAGCTACTGTTCAGTTGGATATTCAGGATGATTTCTCTATAATTCAGTTGTAATTCCAGAAAGGTCTTGGTAGGAGGTTAGTGTAGCTTCCACTTACTACTCTGCCATCATGGATCTCCCCTCTATTTTTAATTTTTTAAGGAATCACCATGCTGTTTTCTACAGCAGCTATACAACTTACATACCCATCAACAGTACAGTGTTACAATTTCTCCACAGCCTTACCAACACTGTGTGTGTGTGTGTGTGTGTGTGTGTGTGTGTGTGTGTGTGTGTGTGTGTGTGAGGTGGTATCATAGTTTTGACTTGCATTTCCCTAATGATGAGTGATGTTGAGCTTGTTTTCATGTGTTTATTGGCCATTGCACATCTTGTTTGGAGAATTGTATATTGAAGTCCTTTTCCTATTTTTGAATGGGGTGTTTTTTGTTGTTAAGTTTTAGGAGTTCTCTATGTATTCTGGATATTAATTACTCAGAATATATGTGATTTGCAAGTATTTTCTCCAATTCTGTGGGTTGCCTTTTTACTCTATTGATAGTATCCTTTCTTGCACAAGATTTTAAAATTTTTACGAAGTCCAATTTGTTTATTTTTATTTTCTGTACCTTTGGTGTCATATTAAAGAAACACTGCCAAATCTAATGTGAAGCTTTTATCCTATGTTTTATTTTTTGTCTTGTTTCTGAAAAATTTTTTCCACTACCATTTATTTTTTTCCATTACCCCTCTCCCTCCTGAAGTTATCACACTGTTGGCCATGTCTGAGTCCTTTTTCCTTTTTGCTCAATCCTTCCACCCCCTAACCTCCCTTCCCCACTTAGCCTGTGTTTTCTTATAAGGGTTATATTGCTCTAGCTCTTATGTTTAGCTCTTGGATTCATTTTGTGTTAATTTTGTATATGTTGTGCGATAAGGTCCAGCTTCATTCCTTTGCATGTGGATATCCAATTTTTTCAGCACCATTTGTTGAAAAGGTGTCCTTTCCCCATTAAAGGATCGTGGCTCCTTGTTGAAAATCATTTGACCAAATATGTAAGTGTTTATTTCTGGGCTCATGTATTCCATTCCATTGGTCTTTGTTCTTTTCCAAATGTGTTCTGGCTAATTGAGGCCACTTGAGATTTTGTGTGTATTTTGGGACAGAGTTCTCTCTTCTGGATTTCAATGGGGATCATGTTGAGTATGCAGGTCACTTTTTTGTAGTGTTGACATCATAACAGTATTACGTCTTCTAATTCATGAACAAGGGCTTGTCTTTCATTTATTTATGTCTTTAAATTCCTTCAGCATTGTTTCGTAGTTTTCACAGTACAGTCTCTTTCTTGGCTAAGTTAATTCCTAAGTATTTAAATTCTTTTGTGATACAGTAAATAGAATTACTCCCTTAATTTCCTTTTCAGCTTACTTATTGTTAGTGTGTAGAAATGTAATAGATTTTTGTTTGTTGACTGTGTATCTTATTACTTTGCTAAATTTGTTTATTGGTTTTAACAGTTTTTTGTGGAATCCTTAAGTTTTTTACATGTGAGATCATTGGATGGATATTTTTTTAACGTGATATGTTATACTTAGAAAGTCAGCATCATACTTAATCAGCTAACTGTAGAGGCATTTCTATTAGAAGAGTCCAATGGGACTGTCTAGTTTCTAAAAGTTGAAGAGAGTTCTCCTTTGAAAATATCTGCATCAGGTACCAATTGCATTTAAGGATTCCCTTAATGAAGCAATAACAAGTATGCATGCTATTAAGCCTCAATTCTTGAATGCCCGTCCTTCAGTATTATGTCTTGCAAAATAGAAAGATGTACCAAATATTTCTACACACTAAGTGGTATTCTAAACATGGACACTTGTGCTATCATGTGAGTTCAAGCTGAATTAGCTGCGCTTTTCTGGATACTCTTTACTTAAAAGAACAACTGCGGGGCCAGCTGGTTTCTTCAGATGTGCAGGTTTGGCAGGCACTTTTCCACAAGCGAATGGAGTGACTCTGTCACTTCAAAGAAAACAACTGAAAATATTTGTTTTCAATTATAAAATTCTGGCAATTGAGCATAAGGACAATTTTGGAACATTTTATGTGCCTCTGTGAGCTTGAAAGCTTTTCTGTACATAAAGATTTTTTTTTTGATGTGGTTGGTTGATGATGTTAAAGAATGTTATTTTTAAAATACTTTATAATAGAACATTTGAAAAATCTGCACAAAATATTAAGCTAACATTTTCCAAGTAAACAGTGCCTGACACTACTACAAAATTATGCGTGGGTAAAACAGCCGCCCAGCATGCAGTATGGACTAACGGGTTTTCATGTAACATTGAAGAAAGTTCCCTGATGTGGTTTCAGATTCTGCATTACTGCTGGAAATTTGTTTGCATTTACTTTTTTCTTTTTTTACAGAAGACTTTAAAAAGGTTTTTCTAGTACTTTATTATTTTTAATCAGATTTATTGGGATGACAGTGGTTAATAAATTATATAGGTTTCAGGTGTACAATTCTTAATACCTCATCTGTATATTGCATTGTGTATTCACCACCCAAAGTCAAGTGCTGTCCCATCACCATTTCACCCCTGTATTTGCTTTTAATGTTCATTTGCCCATCACATTATTTTTAGCTTTTCTGATTTAAGTTTTAGGCTTATTTCTTATATAGAGCATATAGTTGGGTTCTGCTTGTGAGCCAAACCAAAACTTCTTTTCTTCTTTTCATAAGTGAATTAATCCTTCACATTTATTTAAATGACTGAATGTTTGCATTAGCTTCTGTCATATTACAGTTAATGTGTGTATCACATATGCATGTTTTCCCTTTCCGTGTTTTTTCTTTCTTTAATGAATACTACTTCCTTCAAGTCATTTTTAGTCTTCTTTTCCACTTTAGTCCAATAACCCTTACTAAGTTTCCATTCAAATCTTTCTTGTAAAAGTCTTTATTTTTTTTTATGTGATTTTTTTCCTTATATTATTTCTGAAGTCAGTCAACTCTTGTTTTGGTACTTCTGATTTTTTGTTCACTTATGCCCTTAGTTTTTCAATTTCAATTCAAGTTGTTTTTTTAGATTCCCAAACAGGGATATTTAATTCAGTTTGGATTTTTGTGTTACTGTTTTCTTCTGCTGTATGTTTTTTGGGCGGAGGGAAGCGGGTGGCTGTGTTGGTTAATTTTTACCAGCTGAGGTGTTTTTGTTTTCTGTTTTCTTCTGTAGCTTTGTGTAGATGAAGAATGCTCGTGTGTACATTCAGGACTGTTCAAGACTGGACGTTTGGAGTGGTTTACTGGATTCCTCATTTAAAGCACCTTCTTGTATCGCTATGATGACATGCCACGTCTTTAATGGAGGCGCCCTTGGAGGGACAGAATCAGTGTATAAGTGAAGGGGTTGTCTCCACCCGGCAGTTCGGCTGTTGGAGCAGGAGAGGGGACAGATGGCATAGCTGCTGGCTGCTGGGTAAACATTGTGGTAGTAAATTGCAGAAGTCTGTTTTGATTCATCTGGTTCATCAGTAAAATAGGAAGCAGGGTTAGGCTGAGTGAGAATGAATGAAGAGGTGCAAGATTGAAGAGAGAAAACTTGGGTTTCTCTTGGAAGATGGGGTAATAGAGCTCAGATATACAGTTAGAAGTTTTTGTGTCATTGAATGATTATACAGTATTTTTTAATGATTGCTTACAATTCTGTTTTATTATTTAAATTGTGGCTGTATGATTTTTTTAAACCAGTTTTCTGTTGTTGGACATTTAAGTTGTTTCTAGTTTCTTATTATTCAAAATAAAAATGGTACAAAGACTCTTACTATACCATTCCAAAACTTGGAGTTCTTAACTTTTTTGTTAAGATATGAGAATGGTCATCACTCTCATTGGTCAGAAATTGTGGTCAGATCATACACGTACATACAATGTAAGTTTTGGTAGTGTGATGCTGCCTGCAACATGGTACTGAAATACAGAATTGTCCAAATGCAAATAATGAGCTTCTAAACAGGCACTTTTAAGAGTGGTATTGATGGTTATTAGAAAAATACTGTGAAACAAACTGTCACTATTATATTGTTTTATTGCTGGGAAAAATGACAACATGGCTAAATTGCTCAATAGAGTATGCTGAAAAATAAGTCAAAGTATTTGGTTGCAACCTAATCCACTAAAGCAAGAGAGGAAATGAAGAGGCAAATGTGTCAGTAAAATGTCTTAAATTGTGTTCAATCAAGTTAAAAGAGACACAGTCTCTTAAATATGCTCCACGCACTTAAAGCAGCCACTAGGCTGTGGGTCTCTTAGAGCTGGGTTGTCCCAGCACCTTCCAGCTGATGCTCCTCCATTTTCCACTTCGTCTTTTCTAGTCCACTTTCCTTTCCTTAGTTAGAGCAGATTTTCCAGTGTACTGCTTCAGCCGTGCCTCCACTGTGAAATAATGCCCTGAATCGGGATCTGCTTGTCTGCCTAGTTTTAAGTTCTCTGGTCTCGCCTAGTTCCTGCTGCCCTTGGCTCCTCTCTGCCCCTCTTGGCTCTTCTCCGCCTCCCTTGGCTTCCTCCTGGGAACTAAATCCCACTGACCCCTGCAAGTGTGCGTGTAATGGAACCACAGTTGGTTAAATAACCTGGAGCAGAGGAAATGCCAGTAAGGAAGTTGTAAAGAAAGCTATAATACATTTATACATATGTGACCAGCATGGTTATCATGGCTGTATTAAATTTGATTCTTTTTGGAGCCAAAACAAAAAGGATGAAGAAGTAATCTGTTTGCCTCTTATCATCAGAAAGGTAGGATGCAAAACCTCTCCTAATAATAATTTCATAAAACAGTTCTTATGTAGGTCTTCATTATGGAAATCACTGAATATAATGGACAAAATTCTCATTTCAAAGATTCTGTGTGACATGTCTCATGTAACTTTTTTCGTGGTCAGTTACTAAAAGCCACATGACAGTAAAACTCAAATTCTGTCCGTTTGTAAGATAAGTATATGTAGCCTTTTGGTACTTTGATGTGATCCAGGTGAACGTAGGAATCCAGACCCAGAGCTGTTAAGTGACTGCTCCCCCGTCTTCATGGGTCTCCTGACTTCCTGCACAGTTGTCTCAGTTCACTCTAGTTTCTGATAATCATAACCGTTGGGGTCCAGGGAGGGAAGGGTTACAGTTACTGATTTCTTCCAAGGTCACTTGTATAGATCTAAATAGTGTAATTTGGTGATCCAGCCTAAATTACGGGGCTTGTGTTTCTGGTTAGAAGCACCAAGCCCAAACTGGGGGTTTAGTGAGATCAGAGTATCACAGGGGAAGCACTTGTGGAACAAATGCTAGGATCATATACATAAAATCCTTCTTAATACTTGTCACAGTTCTCTCACCGGGGTTATGATAGTGAAATCAGTTGTTACTATTTATCAGTGAGGAAACCATGTGTATAAGGTCTCCTCCTCACGTTCCTAGGTGTGTACCAACACATATCTGTGCTTCCCTGCCTAACAACTCCATTTGTGCTGAGATGTCCTTCCCTCTATGGCATTGTCTGTGCTTTGTGGGCGGCGAGTCCTGGCCCCAACTCTTAGTGGTGTGTCAACAAGGGTCTAAAGTCCTGGTTCTTGACTTTGGCTTCACATTGGAGTCGCCTAGGAAGCCTTGTAACAGATACTGCTGTCTGGGGCCCTCTCCCAGGAATTCTGACTTGGGGGTGGGGCTGGGGTGTGGACAGGAGGTTTTCAGTAACTTCCAGGTGATTCCAAAGCGCTGCCCAAGTTGAAAACCACCGGTCTCAACAAATACTGGAAGTGCCACTCTTTTTGCAGCAGTGGCTTTAGGCTTGAAATAGGAACACATGTCCTCCGGTGCACTTCTGGAAAAGTGATCATCTCTTAAGATACACAGGAAGAGGCTAGACATTGCTGTGTCTGAATATGACGCCCGTAACGGATGCAGCTGCCTAATGACTTCAAGGGGAGCTAGCAAACCAGCTGAAGGTGACAGAGAAGAAAGTTAAGAAGCTGGGTCCTTGATAACTGAGCCATGCAATATACCAGACTTAGGCGACAGCCAGCCTTCGGAATGTGCACATTATACCACATGAAATTTTATATACATATAAAAATATGTATTTTTGTTACTGTTTAAGCTCTTTTGACTTGGGTTCTCTTACCTGCAGCCAAAGGCAAGATGATAAATGTGAGCCAGGAATCAAACCGTTCATCCATCATGGTCCACATTTCTGGCCCTCGCCCCTCTGCACTGAAGGCTTTGTTCAGTCTGGACTCCCACTGGTGGCACGCAGTGAGCACCGGTGTGAGAAAGACGGGAACGTACTTGCTTCGTAGGGAGGGCTGAGCTGCCCAGCTCGCCTCAGAGTGCTGTTGGTGATCGCTGTGAAGTTTGCAACGCTGCATTGTGTAAAAATGTGGAAAACTAAACCTGGTTCTGTCTGGGGTGCACATTGTTATAGCTGACATCACTGCGATTGGATTGTCTTTTACAGTTGATAGAATGTCACATTTTACTTGGCAGTTTACTTTTATTGGTGCATAAAAATGGTGGGTCTCATTTAGTGACGCATTCGATTTGAATATAATTTTAAGCTGAAGTTATATATGCATGCAGTCAAAAGTTTACTGTGAAATGAAATTTGTTACAAAATTTATTTTGGATTAATAAATTTAAAAAATGAAAAGGTTTGTTATGAAAAAGAGTGGTTTCTTGTTTTTTCTTTTTTTTTTTTTTAAGATTTATTTTTAGAGGGGGAGAGAAGGAAGAAAGAGAGGGAAGGAAACATCAGTGTGTGGTTGCCTGTCACTCACCCCCTACTGGGGACGCAGCCTGCAACCCAGGCATGTGCCCTGACTGGGAATCGAACCAGCCACCCTTTGCCTCAGGGGTCCATGCTCAATTCACTGAGCTATACCAGCCAGAACAAGAGTGGTTTCTGTCTCTTCCCCATCCCCTGTTCTTTTTGTGGGAGGCAGAGTAATAAGACAGCTCCCAAGACTCCATGCCCCAGTGTTCTCGAACCCCTCCCTTTGCGTGGACATTACTGTAAGTGTTGAGTTTCGCTCTTAGGATTAACTTATGGTACCCATCAAAGATGAAGCAGTTTTACCTTTGTATAATCATGGTCTCAAGTCACTTAGTTTTGAGTTAAATTGAAAGGGAGATGTTCCTGGGTGGGTCTCAACTTATCAGATGAACCCTTAAAAGACACGGGGCCCTTCTGAGGTCGAAAGTGAGATGCATCAGGGGGTTTTCCTGCCAGCCTTGAAGAGGTCGCCGTGCTGCGAGAGGGCCATGAGAACTTCAGTCTTGCAGCCACAGGTTGCTGAGTTCTGCCAACAACATGAATGAACTGGGCAGAGGTGCTCCGGGCTCATTTTGTATGTTCCCACCTCAGTCCTCAAATCAGCCCTTTCTCCAAGGAGCCCCAATTTTTTTCATCACTCCTGAGTCTGGTCAGACGATGCCTTGAGAATAGCTTCTCAGCGAGCTGTCATATAGATTGAAGGCGATGGTCTGGGCGCCTCTCAAGGACCCCCAGATCTTCCCACTCACTGGTCACCCCCGGGTTCTAGTTGTTATGGTTACTGTAGCTGTGGGTTGGGGAGCAGAGGGAGATCCAGGCAGGTCTCTGCACCAGCCCGTTTACCAAGGCTCAGCTGTTTGTCCTCAGTGAATTTTCTCTGAATCCATCTCTTTGAACTTAATTTCCAGAATTCTGAAAAAAATGGCTTCAGACTGTTTTTGCCAGAGTTCTCCCATGACTTTTGTGAAGTGGATTTTCAGAGATCCTCCGTCACTTTTCCAGAAGTGGAAGGCTTGTTCTCTCTTGAGTATTGTTCGACATCGCAATACCTTCTTTTTCCAACGTCTGTCTGCACTGGAGTAAGTTGTTCGTGCTGGCAGGAAGACCGCTGCGTGCCGTCTTCAAGTCCCCTTCCTCCGGAGCACCCCTTTTCTCCCGGCTCTCCCCGAACTCACCCTCCTGGCAAGAAGTTCCTCGTTCCCAAGTGTTCGGGATGTTCACCCAGCTCCAAAATTTTAAACTGCTTCTTTTGGGGGGTTCCACAGAAGCGGCCTTATTTGTCATTCACATAATTATTAAGTAAATACAAGTTTTGTATTCCAACTGTACTAAAAAATACTTCAAATTTATTTGCCTGGATATGTTGCTTGGCAGGTATATCTGTTACATAATAATATAAACTGGACTTTTAATCTTGGACTTCCTGAACAAATTTGTGATTCAGCCCACATCTGCTGACAGACCAGCTCTTTGCAGCTTTCCGTGTGCTTGCAGACTGCAAGCCAACTTAAACTTCCTCCTGTAGCTGAACTCAGTTAGGTAAACCCAGAATCAACAGAAGTGCTCCTTATTTCAGCCAAATGCACATAAAACAGCCATTTCAGTCCATGAAGAAGGCAAACCCTGGTCCCAGTGAATTCCTGATTGTCTCAGGGGCTGAATGCCTGTCCTTGTGCTGCCGTGAAGGGCGCTGTGTTCTCAGGAGCCCGGGAGGCCATGTGGGCCGAGGCCCGCCTCCCGGGGCCCTGCTGCTCCCGCTCTGGCTGCCAGCAGTTCTGCAGGTTGTGTGTTCTTTGGGACGTACCCTACACCTAGATTTGTACCAGGAAAAGGCAAGAGGGAAAAACGACCTTGACTTTTTCAATGGGATGTGCAGGAAGGCAGGATGGAAGGGGAAACTTGTGAGGAATGGGGAGACCTCGGAGAGAGTCGGCCAGGAAGACACTGCTGTGCCCTGCGAAATCTCAGCAAGACAGTGGCCGTAAGGGGTGTGGTGTGGGGCCGCAGGCAGGGCTGCGAACCTGCCTCCCCAGCCCACCCACAGGTTAGCAGGGGCTGTGGGCCAGAACCCTTCAGACCGGTCACAGGACTGGGAAGTGGACGTTCAGGACAGCAGGGCCCTGCAGCCCAGTCTCCCACTGGCCTTTCTCTTCCTCTGAGTCTTCACCCCCGTGTGTTCTCTGCTGTCGGGGCAGCTGCACTGAACACCAGGCAAGGCCCCTCTCCCTCCCCTCTTCTGGGCTCAGCAGCTCTCACACCATTGTTTTAATTGCCCTCCCTGATGGTCTGGAAGCAGCATGGGGGCCTTCTGTCTTGTTCAAGGCCAAGTCCCTGCAAGGATCAGGCACATGAAAAACCCTCACTCAGTGGTCATTAAATCATTAAAAAATTAAACACTGAAAGGGAACTGCTATTGTCCCCAACCACAAGAAACACTGTGGTCTTCTAGTGAAGGAACGAAAAGGATTATTTCAGTGAGGTTTGCAGTGGTGGTGGCAAACCAAGAAACAACACTGATGGCAGTGGTGTGTCTGTCTGGGATTCAAGAATTCCCCAGACAAGACAGAAACAAAGGAGAGAGAAAAGGGAATTGAGAGAAGAGAGTGTGAATAATCAGCAGTGGATTCCCAGTGCTTCCCTCTCTGTGACAGTCGGACACATGTGCGAGGTACCCTCCAAGGCTTGGCACAGTTCCCGCTGAGCAAGCCTTCCTTCTTTCTCATTTGTAAACATGGGACTCTTAACCAGTCCTGGTGACCAGCTACCAAGTACGCACCTCACGGCCACGGCCACACCCACCCGTGGGTCTGGGGACCGTGGTGGAGACCACTGGTTGCTTAAGCTGGGAGTTGAGGCCCATCTCTCAAAGCCTGCCTGGACCCCTCTCACAGCCAACAAAGTCAGGTTTATCAGTTGCTGCACCAAGAAAAAGGTGGCATTTCAGGGGATTGTGACATCTCATAGGGAGGGTCTTAGGGAAAGATAATTATGGAGATTTTGAGACCAGAGGAAGTTGTGGGATGGTCCTCCTTGGCAGGAGTGAGTCTGGTGTGTCAGGTAGTTACTGGCAGAGTGAGGGGTCGTGTCTTTCTGAGGAGCTGGTGTCGGGTGTTTACGTTCAGCTGGGGTGAGGAGGGTGCTCTGAAGCGTGTGCTTTACGGGTTGTGTGAGTCCCGAGGCAGCCTCTGAAAAGCGGGACCCAGAGGGTGAGGGACCGCAGCTGGGGAGGCAGCGCTGTGCCCCGCGGAGCCTGAGGGAGGGTGGCTCTCATTCCGTCCGCAGTCCTGTAGGCTAACCCTCCCCTACCCCCAGAGTCAGGGAACCTCTTTATGAAACATGCTGATGCTTTGCTTCAGCTTTTATTGCTGAAAAAAGTAGAATGATATCATTACTTGCTATAAAATTAGACGACTTCTCTTTCCAAAAAAAAGTAAAACGGACACCATGTTTGAAAGTCAGCCTGCGCTATGTTCCCTGTGTGGCCCGCACTCACTGCAAGGCGGCCTTCTCTGCGTGTCCTGTGGCAGTGGTTACAGCGACACAGTGATCCGGGATTGCCGAGGGGAGGGACGGCCGGGCTGGGCAGCGGGCTTCCCAGGAGAAGTGTGTGCTTGGCAGGTGGTGGCTGTCCGTGTTCCCGGGGACAGAGATGACTGACTCTCAACAGATGTTCTGGAAGGGAGACGGGGTACACGGTATCGGAGTTTCCTCCGGCAGCTGTAACGGGACCAAGGCCTGGGAACCTGGAAACAACAAATGTGTCCTCTCGCCGTCTGGGGGCCGGAAGTCTGAGACCGAGGTGGAAGCAGGGCCAAGTTCCCGCTGAAGGCTCCAGGGGAGGGTCTTTCCCGCCCCTTCCAGCTTCTGCTGGCTCCCGGCAATCCCTGGCACATCTTGGCTCTGATGGTGTTAACTCCAGTCTCTGCCTTCGCCCTCTGCCTCTGTGTGTGTCTGTGTCTATAAGGTTACCAGTCATTGGATGAAGGCCCATCCTACTCTAGGATGACGTCATTTTAATTTAACTAATTATACATGCAAAAACTATTTCCAAGCAAGGTCACAGTCACAGATACCAGGTGTTAGGACTTGAACGTACCTTTTCAGAGGACACAGTTCAGCCAACAACACAGGGCCTATTCTGCTCCCAAGGCAAGAGGCTAGGACAGAGCTGGGTTTGCCTTCGGGACCTGAACTCCTCCATGTCACTGGGAAGTCTGCCTCAACCTTGAGACGCACCATGCTAGGCTGGTCGGGCAGTTGCAGGCATGTGTATGGTTTTCTTGTGTGTTTTTTGTAAAACTGGTGTAAGGAGCTAAGTTCATTCTACTCTTCAGTCCGTAGCTTGGTATCACCATCAGTGATGAGGGAGTCTCTATTTTTTTTTGTCCTGCATCACTCAGGAGAGTTGTGCTGGAATCACAAACAATCCTAACACCTCATAGCTTAAAACAACAAAGGATGGGGTTTTGCACATTCTGCTCACAGCGTGGTCAGCAGCTCACGGTATCACTGAGAACCTGGGCTGACGGGGCAGCCTCACCGGAGCAGGGCCAGCTGCCACACCCGGGGGGGGGGTAGGAGTGGGGGGGTGGGGGGGAGGCTGGGGCTCCACTGTCTCAGCCGATAGTGCAGCAGATCCTCAGTGTCATTTGACTACAGCACTGATGAGAATCTATCTGTAGGGACTTAACCACGTTTATACCAATTAGTCTGTTGTAAAACTGGTTTTGTTATACGTTGTTTCACTTCAAATTGTAGGGCACACAGCGATTTGACCCTGGGAGACTTGTACCCCTTCTTAGTCAGGACCTGGCCCACCAGGCCCAGATACTGGGCACAGAAGTGGGGACAGTGGGAAGCATTTGGCCAAATTCACCAA